AGCAGTGGCTCGACGACGTGACAGCGTTGAACCACGGCGTCGGGCTCGCTTTCGCTTGCTAAGTCCGGCGCTCACCACACGGCGTGTCTTTGATTCGGGCCACTGCAACAGTGATTAGTGCGGGCCATTCAGAGGGGATGATTGACAGACCAAAAAAAGGCAAATGCAATGCGCATTGCATACGCGGGTACACTTTCATAGTGCTTCCCTTCGCTCGGTGCTACTACCAGGCATAGGCCTCCGCCCACTCACACTTGCGTTTGCTGTTTTTTCTCCCTGCTCCTGGCGCGTCGTGTTGGTTCGGTGGTACTGGTACAGGCCTGGTATGGGTCTCCCGGCGCCAGAGCGAAGATCGAGCTTAGGGTCGATTCACGCGCAGGCCGAGGGGGCCCCGCAAACGCCACGCGACGGCGAGACAACGGCGAATCTTCCCCAACAACCCCAGGTGCTTTTCTTCTGTCTCTTTTTTCGCGTCTCTTTTTTTGCCCGTTGGCGGGGACTAAGCCTCGGACATCATGTGGTCTGCCAACACTCGTATGACCTTGGCCGTTTCGTGGCAACTTTGCAACTCATTGTCGAAGGCACGACGGCAATGGCCTGCGAACAATGGTGGTGACTCGAGCGGCAGTTGGCCTGTCGGTACGTGGGAGGCGCCATTTGCAAGGGTACCAGCATAGCAGGGTGGGCTGGCATGGGCGCAAAGTATCGCGAGCCGAGCCTGCACTCGCAGCACCGATCCGTGATTCATCGGTCACGCGCGATAGCTAGACTTTGTTCAAAGGTCTAGGTAGTGTACATGTAGCTCCTCGTAGGTAGCTAGGTGGTACGGTACGGTACGGCACTTGATCTGGCCTGGCTGGGCTGGGCTGCTGGTTGGGTCGGACATTTGGAGCTAGGGGGGGCCGAGCTGAGCAACTGGCTGGAACCGGGCCAGGCGACGGGCACGGCCCAGAGCGTGGCCACCAGCAACCACGCGAGCACAGCACAGCACCGTGAAACGACGACGATGGTCCAATACGGCGGTACTGATTTCATCTGATGTGAGAGGTGGTGGTGGTGGTCCGGTTTCGTGAGGCATTCTCAATGGGCGTGGCGTAGGGGTGCCGCATGGGGCATGGGGATACCTCGGAGTGGTCAAGACAAGAGGATCGTTGGAGATGGAGGGATGCCATGGGGTAGACTCGCGTCGGTCATGGATTTCGAGGCTCTGGGATGGTGGAGCTGGAGAAGGATGGCATGTTGGAGCTTGTGGAGGGAGGACGGAGCACCTTAGCTTGCGAGGAGCAGATGGTCAGATGTGAGGGGCCCCTCTCGCCTTCGCTCCTCCCCTCCCCACCCCAGTCCGAGGAAGCAACACCCCAGTCGGCCGGTCCTGGTCGGCCCAGCCCACGGTCGTACCCAAACAGATTGGGGCCCCTCCTTTCGGCCCGTTTACACTCAGGGACTCCTGCTCACTTCCCCAGGCCACCGGGGAAGGTACCACCGCGAGGGACGAGACCGAGAAGGCGCGTCCCTGGTTCCTGCTCGCCCTCAACGCCGATATAAGGACGTTGCACCAGCGCCCTCTCGTCCATTCAGACCTCTCCATCTCACAGCCTTCTCTTCAACCTTAATCTCAACCCCCCCTTTCCCCCCTCCTTCTTCCCCTTCTCTGCCCCTCAACATCTGGGCTCTTCACTGCAGCCACCTAAACACCAGACATCGTCGACCTCATCACGCCGCCTCACCAGCAGCAGCAGAACAACATGTCGTCCCACGGCGAGAAGGATGGCGCGGCCGCCACTGAGCACCGCCCCTCCGTCACCCTCCACACCACCGACGATGTCGAGCGCATTGAGGCTCCTGTCACCTGGAAGGCCTACCTCATGTGTGCCTTCGCCGCCTTCGGTGGTATCTTCTTCGGTTACGACTCCGGTTACATCAACGGTGTCCTCGGCTCCCAGATCTTCATCGATAACGTCGAGCACCCCGGTGCCGCGTCTCTGTCCTCCTCCAACACCTCGCTCGTCGTCTCCATCCTGTCCGCCGGTACCTTCTTCGGTGCCGTCATTGCCGGTGATGTCGCCGACTGGATCGGCCGCAAGTGGACCGTCATTCTCGGCTGCTTCATCTACATGCTCGGTGTCGTGATCCAGATGATTACTGGTCACGGTGATGCCCTCGCTGCCATTGTCACCGGCCGTCTCGTCGCTGGTCTCGGTGTCGGCTTCGAGTCTGCCATTGTCATTCTCTACATGTCCGAAATCGTAAGCCATCTCTGCCCCTTCTCCTCGTGGTCCACACGCTAACATCATCTTCAGTGCCCCCGCAAGGTCCGCGGCGCCCTCGTTGCCGGTTACCAATTCTGCATCACCATCGGTATCATGCTGGCCTCGATCGTCGTCTATGCCACCAAGGAGCGCAACGACACTGGTGCCTACCGCATCCCCATCGCCATCCAGTTCCCCTGGGCCGTGATCCTCGGTGGTGGTCTCATGCTCCTCCCCGACTCGCCCCGTTACTTCGTCAAGAAGGGCAACCTGGCCGCTGCCACCGACTCTCTGTCCCGCGTTCGTGGCCAGCCCGCCGAGAGCGACTACATCCAGATGGAGCTCGCTGAGATCGTCGCCAACGAGGAGTACGAGCGTGCCCTCATCCCCTCCACCACCTGGTTCGGCAGCTGGGCCAACTGCTTCCGCGGCTCCGTCTTCAAGTCCAACTCCAACCTGCGCAAGACCATCCTCGGTACTTCTCTGCAGATGATGCAGCAGTGGACCGGTGTCAACTTCATCTTCTACTACTCCACCCCCTTCCTCCGCTCCACTGGCGCCGTCAAGGACGAGTTCCTCATGTCGCTCGTCTTCACCCTTGTCAACGTCCTGTCCACTCCTCTGTCCTTCTGGACCGTCGAGCGCTTCGGCCGCCGCTTCATCCTCATTGTCGGTGCCTTCGGCATGCTTGTCAGCCAGTACATCGTTGCCATCATTGGTGTCACGATCGGCTTCAACCACACCCACCCTGACCCCAACGACGCCGAGAAGAGCATCGCCGACAACATCCCCGCTGTCAACTCCCAGATCGCCTTCATTGCCATCTCCATCTTCTTCTTCGCCTCCACCTGGGGCCCCGGTGCCTGGATTCTCATCGGCGAGATCTTCCCCCTGCCCATCCGCTCTCGTGGTGTTGCTCTGTCCACCGCTTCCAACTGGCTGTGGAACACTGTCATCGCTGTCATCACCCCCTACATGGTCGGCGAGGACTACGGTAACATGAAGTCCTCCGTCTTCTTCGTCTGGGGTTCTCTCTGCACCGCTGCCTTCATCTACTCGTACTTCTTCGTCCCCGAGACCAAGGGTCTGTCTCTCGAGCAGGTCGACCGCATGATGGAGGAGACGACTCCCCGCACTTCTGCCAAGTGGACCCCCCACCAGACCTTCGCTGGCGCCCGCTCCCACGGCGGTGTCCTTGACAAGAGCGAGGCCGTGTAAGTCGATGATCGACGAGGAGAGATCTATACCCGAAAACCAAGAATGGGGTCGCCTGCCATGGCCCCCTTTCGAGATATATATACTTGGCTGTTGTTGCGGGAGTCGGAGAGGTGGCTCGTTGTAATTAAGTGAAGTCGACGAGAGGATGTGAACCAGGATCTAGTCTTCAAGGTTGAGAAATGACAATCACCTTCCAAAACACTTTTCCCCTTGCAGTGCCGAGTGAGTGACTGGTATGCCATGAGAGTGTGCGTGGGCGAGTCGAACCTTTATATCGGCTTCATCTTGTCGGCTTTGCCTGATTCGGCATCTCCGTGTTCCTTCCTGCGGGGACTTCGCCGTTATTCTAGGCGAGCGGACTGTTCACGTAGGTAGCCCTAGACGGTACGTTATGAATCTTCTTTCCTCTTCGCTGGCAGAGTTTTCCTCGTCTGGCAGCTTTGTAGTTTCATGTTTGTCCATGGCCGTTGATTTTATTCAAGTTGCGTGCGTGCGCTGTGTCGAGTGTACTCAGCAGACAAAAAGATTTGTGCTCCATCCATCATCTCTCTGCTGGGCACGAAACCTGAAAGTCTTCTCGCAACGCATCCGGTCTCAGTTGATGCGAATCGACCATCTTGTGCCATTGACATTACTTCAATGCATTTTAGTTAATATGACCAAGACTTCTCCCATCTATCGCAGCCACTACACGGACGAGAGCCGAGCCGATGAGCACGCGCCTCGGCTGGCCTGTGAGAGGTGGCATCTCGAAGTTGGCCCTCCGATCGCAAGACTGCTAGCATCACAGCTTGGAATAATCCCGTGCCGCCTATATTTTCTACGTCACAGCCGTGCTTTCAATGTTTGGAAAGTCTTGGATATAGAGTGGCCGACCCCACGCATCATCCGCCCTGATGTCCGGGGCCGCTCAACGTGACACGCCGGCCCCACAAACCCCGGTGTCTGCCTCCGCGCCCAAACCGGCACTGATCTCCAATTCATCTTCCGATCACCTTCCTTACAGCGTCCTGTAATAGCTGGCCCCCTATCTGTCACGGCTCATCGAGGAGATCTCAGTGGTTGGCGCGGGTTCTCTCTTATCAGCTTGTGAGACCGTGTTCCCCTCTGATCATGGCTGCATAGCTCACCCCTCAAAGAGTGATTATATATGGCGCCTAAGGAGCTTTCGGGTTCCCGCTGCCCCGGGTTTCAAGGCGATGACAGCACGGCACTTTATCGTGGCGCATGCCTGACGTCTCGTTCATCGAGATGCTGATGATCATTCATTTGGGGTAAAAAGGCCCGACGAAAGCACGCTCGGAATATAGTGCGTGTGGGAGAGTCGGGAGAACAGCCGAGAGGGAAATGGTCTCACATTTCTGGGCGATGGTGAAGACATGCCTATAAAAGTAGTCTGTCTGCGATAAATGGATCGCGACTGTCGTGATCTCCTGGCTCTCATCAGATCAGGACATCCGCTACGAAACATAGGCTGAACCTCGTACTTTCGATTCGATAGACTCTGGAACATTCCCAGCACTCCAAACAAACATGCGATCTACTCTGGGTATGTTTGCCTTGGTCAGCATGGCTCATGGTCACGCTACGTTTCAGCAGTTTTGGATCGACGGCGTTGATCAGGGCAGCACCTGCGCTCGCCTTCCTCCCGGCAATAGTCCGATCGAAGACGTAGCTTCGAACAACCTCCGATGCAATATCGGAGGTGCCAGCGGCGTAGCGGGCATTTGTGAAGTTCCTGGTACGTCAATTCACCCTTGCCATCCTTCGGCTCAGGCTGATGCGCTGACATCCGCATACCAGCGGGCTCCATGATTGAGGTAGAGATGCATGAGCAGCCGGGTGACCGTGACTGCGAGAAGCCTGCCATCGGAGGAAACCACCATGGCCCTGTCATGGTCTACCTTGCGGCCGTCCTAGACGCCACGATTGCCGACGGCTCAGACCCATTCTTCAAGATTGGAGAGTATGGATACACACCCGAGGACCAGGTCTGGGGAACTGACTATCTGAACAACAATTGCGGTCGCTTCGGCGTGATGTAAGATTTTTGCCTACGTTGATATCAAAATTCAGAGGACTGACAGCGGTAGGATACCGGAGAACCTGCCCTCTGGCGATTACTTGGTCCGCGCAGAGGCTGTTGCGCTCCACAGCGCAGGTCAGCTCGGCGCGGCGCAGTTCTACATGACCTGCTACCAGATCAAGGTGACGAACGGGGGCACTGCTTCGATACCGTCAGGTGTATCTTTTCCCGGGGAGTACAAGGCTGTGAGTATCATTCTTCGTGGGCATTGTGCCATACTGGGGCTGACGCTGTACGCTGCAGGACCATCCTGGGATTCACATCAACATCTGGGTGGATGACATTGATGCCTATGTCATCCCCGGGCCTCCAATTGCCGAGATTTAAGGTCCATCGGTGACGGAATTCAGTCTGTACCGCTCTAGATCATTTGAAGAAGGTGCTGTGTACTGGCGTTGCTATCGGCTTCATGTCTCACGAAGTGTAAAATCTGAACAGGCCCTGGTGAGCCAGATCGCACTCGTTCATGCGCGTCATCTTCGTCATCCTCGTAAGGCGACCACAGGCCATTGCACCGCCAGGCTGCCTCCAGCCCTGTGGAATCATTTTGACTGGGCGAGTTCAGGGATGTTTTGGCTGGTGATCGTGTCGAAAGAGGCGCAGTGCAGCTCCTCAACCTATGAGCATCAAGCCTTGGCAGGACAAGGTGCTGCCCCCCTGCGCGCTGCACAGCAGTAGCTCGTCTCACTGCGTGAACATACACGTCTCATAGGCCCTCTGTACTGACCATGCAAGCCGTGGAGGCGCGGCAGACCGGCACCCGTCTCAGCGAAAGGCGTTCAACAAGGCAGACCTTCGGTGTCAACCATGAATACTGGCGGCCGCCCCATTCCGTATGGTGCGACCTGTCGATTTGTTTTGATGATGGTCTGCTGTTGGTGGTTATCTCAACGTAGGACTCTGACTTCAATTGAAACAAGCACCAATATTGTGGTCGTAGGACTGTTGACAATCCGACTGATTCGCTGCCATGGACCCCCTCTCGATTGCTGCCTCGACGGTGCCCTTGCTGGAGGCTGCTGGCTTTGTAAGTCCACATCTTCAGATGCTCGGCTGAGTCGATTGAGATGTCGGCGCAAGGGGCATGAGACACTGTGAGCGCCCGGCGCTAAAGGGTTGACAAACAGATCACCAAGTCTCTCTATAAGCTCGCCAAGTCCTACCGAACGGTGGAAGTCCGTATCGTAGGACTCTGCGAGGAGCTCACCAATCTTACAAACTTCCTGAATACGGTGGACAAGACTTTGAGGAGATATGGTACACTGGACTTTGCCCTCGTGGAGAAGGAGCTGTGGCGGGAGATTGACCAGTCGTTGGTCAACTGCGAGCTGTCGCTGAACGACCTGGGAAAACTGGTCGAGAGGATCAAGAGGCACGCCCACGCGAAGGGCTTTGCCTGGAAGACTCGAACGGTAGCGGACCTGGCCGTCTACGATGGCGAGCTGGCTGCGTTCAGAGACAAGATCCACAAGTCCAACTCGGCTCTACAGACCATTCTCAGTACTATCAATGTGTTCGTATGATCCCATCTGCGTCTGTATACTAGGTATCTGTCTGTACGCCTTGCTGACAACAGGTCGCCTCTAGGTCGCTGTCTCTGCGAAGCAACACGTCGCAAGCCAAGATCCTGACCGAGCTGAGTACGCTCAAGCTGTCTATTGAAGCAGCACTCCGAGTGTCTCGTCTGCCAGTCGGCGGATTCTCCCAGCACTTTATCTCTCTCCCCGATGCCCGTCTATGCCAGAATCTGTGGCACCTGGCCGAGGCGGCAAAGCAGTTTCACTCTGCCGCTTCTTCGACTGCTAGTACCGTCAGGGCAGATGACAGCAATGCTTCCGTCCGCCAGCTCTCCAGGACGGGTTCCAGCCTCGCTGGCGACTTCCCTCCCATCAGACGCCAGTGGGTTGAGCAGTGCCTCCGGCAGGGACGTTGCCAGTCTCCTGAGTTCGCTACGCCTGTTCTATCCAAAGCAAGGACGAATCCAGAAGAGATAAGCGACCAGAAGAAATGGACGTCAGACTCGCCGGCCCTGGCGTCAGACTCGGCGCCACAAGTCTGTGAACAACGTCGTTCAGACGAAGAAACGGAAGACGAAGAGGAAGAGGAGGAGGAGGACGATGGCGAGGACTGTTCAGACTTTGACCAGTACTACATCTCTGGCCTTTACGAGCTCGCCAATGAAAGCATCAAAGCACTCGACTTTGCCAACGCAGCACGCCTCCTGAGCCGCTTCCTCTCCAAGGCCACCGCCTCAACCGAGGCGGGCGTCGCGCACAAGCCCACACGCACGACAAAGATCCAGCTCGCCATCTGCCACTTTCTCGAGGGGTCCTGGCAAAAGGCCGCGCCGCTGGTGACGGAGCTCGCCCGCTCCAAAGCCGGCCGGAACATGGTCGTGTGCAACCTCCTGCACGCCCTGGCCATCGCGTACCTCGCCCAGGGCAAGACGGACGAGGCGCTCGCCACCTGCCAGCAGGCCTTCCTCGGCAAGAAGCGGCTGTGGAAGAAGCAGGACAGCGACGAGTACTCGACCGAGTACTACGCCTCGCTCGGCCTCCTCCATGTCGTCTTTGACGCCTCCGACGACCCGATCCGAGCAGAGATATTCAAGCGCCAGCTCCCCGCCGACTTTGACTATCACCACTTCCCCGACCCGCGGCTCTTTGTCGCTCAGCACCAGACCCTTCTCAGGACTTTGTTCCTGCTGCCACCGGGCGAGACTGCCACGCCGCTCGTCTTCGAGGGCAGCCCTGAGCCCGGCAAGCGCGTGAGGGGTTCGAGGCGGGGCGGAAGTTCGCAGGATGTCTCGACCATCGAGACGGAAGCGATTCCCTTTCGCGGCGACGCGGACGACGAACTGTCGCCAATATCACCCCAGGCCGTCAAGAGGGGCATCAACCGCATCTTCGGGCGCATGATCCGGCGCACGTCGAGAGAGGCGCTCGACAGCCCCGGCAGTCCGAAGCCGGACTCATTCCACTCAAACGGTCTCACGCGCCACCGAGTCAAGCCAGCAAACACGTGGACAAACACCAAAAAGCTCCGGACGGTCCTCAAGAAGAGACAGGTCGTCAACCCCCCGCAGTGGCGACGACAGGACAGCGCGGAGGGTGAGTCGAGCGGCGGCGAGTCCACGCCGCTCCAGGACGACGGGGCGTTCACGACGACGGGGCGGTTCTTCTTCGCGGGAGACGAACAACGCGGCGCCCCTGTCTTCCGCGCCGAGCTCGCGGATACGAGTAGACCGCCCGAACTGGGATGCATGGCCACGATCCCTGCCAAGGCCCTCGAGGAACCGAGCTGGCAGGCATATAACCCGTACCGGAAGCTTGATACTGCGCGTTCCATCAGAAAGGCCAAGTCGAAGCCGACACCCGCGGTTCAGCTTCAGCCATCAACAACGTCGGGCTCGGCCCCCATGCAACGCAGCCTGGAGCAGGTGGCATCTGCCTTTGCGTCCATCGCGGCAGCCAAGGACCCAGACCACCGACACGCCATCCGGCTCGAGCTCGAAATTCTCTCACGCGACCTCGCAGCAACGAGCAACGACCGCCAGCTCCTACGCGACATTGACAATGCCATCAAGGCAATCTCGAGCAAAGAAGCCACAAAGGACGCAGACATCGAAGACTCGGGCTACGAATCGGCAGGGAGCTCCTCCCAACAGAAACTAGCAGCGCCAGAGGCGGGCGACATTTATTCTTCCACTCCGGCGAGAGAACAGGGGTTCAAGAAGCGTGATGTACCGCAGCTGCCACAACCGGTTCCCTTGGCAAAGACAGGGCCGCCGCCGTCGCCAGCGCAACCGACGGCGATTACGTGGAGTCCCGGCCTAACGCGTTCGCGAGAACCGCCGCCATCGGCCCGTCCGACGACAGATCTCTGGAACTCTACCTTCATACAACTCAAAGAACCAGAAAGAACGTTCAAAGGACCCATGGAAGAGTATGCAACCAAGAGCACCATCACAAATTTCAAGACACTCGATGAACTTGCGAGATCATACGAGAAACCACGGAGGGCACCAGACATCTATAACCAGGGTGGAAACGGCGCGCAGCAAAGGTCGTGGATGCAATTTTCGGCGCGATATCTGCCTGGAGCGAATAGGGGAGGCCCGAGGACACCAATAGGTGCCCTGTATCCGAACCTCAGGAGACCATGGCCATGACAAGGCTGGTGATGCGGGATAAGGATGTACCTTTTCTTACTAATTTCATCTCGTTGTCATTTTTTTCTCGTGCAGTACACGAAAGTCATGGAACCCTGTCGCCGCGTTGAGTTAGCAACGCCTCAAGAATGAATTGTATTCGTAAACCAATACATTTAATATCAGCTGTATGCCAGATCTGAGTCCCATATCGCCTAGTGATGCAGACCGCCGCTCGTAACCAGAGATCCTCATGCTTGCCCGCCCCATCCGTATATAAACACCGTCTTCATGCAGTCGTGAATAAGAACAAGGAAAGACGACGAAAACAAATCAACCAAATACATCCATCTCTAGCCAGGTTTACGGCTCAGCCTCGTCGTCTTCAGAGTGGTCCTCAGTGCCCAACCAGTCGTCGCTTTCGAGACCGCGATTTCGGATGCCCATAGTGCCAAGCCAGCCGAGGAAGGCGATGCCGCCGAAGACTCCCCAAGCAAGAGCCTCGCCCTTGGGACGAACGTCGATGGCGATCGTGAAGAGGCCACCTGAAACAAAGGGACCAATACTGCGGCCAGCAGCGGACAGAGATTGAGCGATGCCATTGAGAGTGCCGAGAGTGCCGTGTGTCGGTGCACAATTAGTAATCTTGATGTGTTAGCCTCGCGTCTCGTGGCATGAGGGGACAGTGGTATACTGACTAAAAGCATGACGCTCGATAGACCGCCAACAGCGCAGATGTTTTTGAAAACGAGAACGGCAATCAGTTCAGCATAGAGCCATGCTTGACCGGTTCCAATTCCGAAGAGTGGCTTGTCATCCTTGTAGCCAATCCAGGGCATGAGAAGCATGCTGACGGCGAGTCCCAATAGAGCAACGCGGTAGCTCCCCAAATTGCCAAGTTGCGCCTTGAGATGCTGAAAGATGAAGGCCTGGAAGATGATAGTAGCGACACCCGCCGCACTCAGACAGACACCGATGGTGCTGGGCGACAGATCGCGACCGGCGGGGGTATCGGCGTTGGCGAAAATAGGATACAAACCATTGAATGAGATGTTCGAGAGCTGGAAAACAAGATACGTCAGAAGAACAAGGATGGTGTTGCGGCTTAGAATCTGGCGCCATGACGTGTGCTCGTCTCCGTGCTTGGTATCCTCATCCGTGCCATCTAGATCAGAGGAATGATGCAAAAGGCCTTGGCCCTCTCCGGCGTGCCCTTCGTCGTCCTCTTCATCGTCCTCATCGTCGTGCTCCACGACAGCGCGCGATCCTTGGCGAGGCCAACGCGAGCTCCACGAGTTGCGTCGCGGCTCGGCCGAGCCCCATATCTTGGACCAGGCATTCCGTAGCCACTCTGGGATCCAAGCCTCGTGGGCGTCGTCATGGGCGCTCTCCAACGTCTCCTCGAACCAGATGCCAACGACAACGACACTGAACAAAAGAAGACCAGCGCTGATCAGGTTCGGAGCCAGGTAGGGATAGGTTGGCGTGAGCTTGCCGACGAGAAGGCCTCCGAATGCAGGGCCAGTGATGCCTCCGAGCGAATAGATGACGGGGAGCCAGGTAAAGGCCCTGCTCTGATTTGAGCGATCCGTGACCTCGCCCAGCACGGTTGGCACGACGGCAGCATTGCCGTTGAGCATGCCCATGGCCACATGGACGACGATGATCTGCCAGTATGCCTTGCAGAAGCCGAAGGCCACGAAGCAGCCCATCAACATGAAGGTGCCGAGCACCATGGTGGGTTTTCTCCCCACAACGTCCGACAGGTATCCCCACAACAGGTTGGTTGACAGCTGGGCCAGCGCGAACGACGAGGCCAAGATGCCGACGTACAGGCCTGTTTGCGTCTCGGGGATGTCGGGAAATGACTCGACCATCTGAGGCAGATAGGGTGATATCGAGTTGAGGGCGGTTTGCTCTGTCAGCGAAAGCAAGGCGAGGAGGGCAAGTTGCCGAACGGGCAGCGGGGTCTCCTCGTGATCATCTTCGGAAACATCTGAGCTCGCGTCGGAGGGTGCGCCCAGCTGGTGGTGCGATTGTTCCATTGGGGTCTTGGGTGGAGGCGTCGGGAAGGTATGGTATCGATGTGTCGACTGGCGGCGTAATGTCATGGCGCGACGACCGGCCTCGATGTTCCGCAGGGTCGGCATGGGTTCGCCAGCATGAAGCGAACCCGAGGAGAGGGTTCTCGCAGCGGCAACTGCACGAGCGGCATCATTGCGTCCCAGGATATCCGGACGACCCATTGCAAAGCTCCAGCAAATGGTGTATGGTTGTTGAGAGAAGATCGGAAAGAAAGTTCAGCAGAGGGAGGTTGTCGATGTTGCCGACGGGAAGTGAGTTGATCGATTCTTTAGCGGGTGGTGACGTAGGGGGGGGCTAGCACAAGCTAGACAATCGAGATCGGCGTCGAGACGGAATGGTGAGGCGAAAGCCCTGGGATGGGAACGCAGTGTTGGTGGGCACTCAAGCGCGTTGCCACATGATGGTGACAATGGCAGAGTCTGATGGATCAACTTGTCGTCGTTTGTAAAGGTGGAAAGGTGAAAAATCAGAAGGACGAGGAATGAAGGCGAGCGAAATCGCGCGTGCGGGATCTGATCGTGCCTGCCGTACCTTACCTCACTCAGATTGATGGTGGCGTGCGGGCGGGCGGGCAGCAGCGGTCGACCCTCGGTCTTGCCTAGGTCCTTACCCCCAGGCGGCTGCCAGGGACTCAGGTCACTGGACGAGGTGCCCGTATGGCGGATGCAGCAGGTGCGAGCGGGTTCGGACGCGGATGGGTGGCACTGGCAGTGGTCTGGTCAGAAAAGCTCCGGCGACGATGATGTGCAGCGATAAGCAGCAGATAAGAGTGTGGGGAAAGAACGACCGGGGCTGTCTCCAGTGAGACTCGGCGTACCGCCAATGGCTGCTGTGTGCAGCCTCACTTTGCATTCCTGCATTCTGCCAGGTGCGGACCTTGCCTCGCGGGGCCTTGCTGACTTTACCGCCGTTCTTGCTCTTGATCATCACAAGTCCCACAGGCACAGTGAACGGCACATCCCAGGCAGCGTCAAAACCAAGGCACAATCACCATCTCAGGGCCGTTGTCATTGATATTTCGCTCACCGCTATCCGTCGGGACCACCGACACACATACACCTTGCTGGCTTGATCACCAGACGACAATTCCATGGACCCGTGACACAGACACACTGCTCACCAACTGAGCGAGGCTGAGACACGCAAGTCATCTTCTTTTTCTCTGGTTTCAAACACGTCCAGCCAACCAACTAGCCATTTGGTATCAATATATTTATTCTTCTCTTTTTTTTGGAACAAAATCCAACCCGCTACACCAATGCTATTGACCCACCCCTTGCCTCAGTAGTACACACGCAGGAACTCGACCAGCGCCATCATGGCCATGGCCTGGCCGTACGGCATGCTCGTCCTCGGAATGTCCTTGTAGTGCTGCAGGTCGTGGCCCATGCCGGTGCCGAACGACGTGTTGAGCAGCTCGCCCTCGGGGCTGATGTTGTCAATGACAGCGTTGACGGCCTTGATGGCCGTCGCCTCGTACTCCTTTCCGATGTACCTCTTGCGCTGGGCCTTGAGGATGCCGTAGGCGAAGCCGGCCGTCGCGCTGGCCTCGACGTAGGAGCCCTCGTCCTGGGAGACGTCGAGCAGCGTGCGCCAGAGGCCGTCAGCCTCCTGCAGCGGCACGAGCGCCGCGGCCTGCGCCTCGAGCGTGTTGAGGAGGTGGTAGCGCAGCGGGTCGTCCTTGGGCAGGTCGAGGAGCTCGACAAACTCGGGGATGACAATGGTCAGCCACGCGTTGCCGCGCGCCCAGCGGGCACGCGCAAAGTTGTGGCCGCCGTCGGCAAAGGTCCAGCCGTGGAAGAAGAGGCCCGAGGGGGCGTCGAAGAGGTACTGCGTGTGCAGGAGGAACTGCCTCTTGGCCTCAGCCACGTACTCGGGTCGGTTGAGGACGAGACCAATCTTGGCCAGGGGCATGACGGTCATCATGAGCGTGTCATCCCAGAGCTGCTCGTCGTTGATCTCGAGGTAGGTCGTGTGCTGCATGCCGCCGTACTTGGTGCGGCCGAGGTCGTGCATGGCCCACTCGGCCCAGCTGTCGAGCCACGGCACGTACGTCTGGTTGCCCGTCTTCTCGTAGACAAAGGCCAGGGTCAGGAAGACGGCCATGGTGTTGATGTTCTTGCCCTTGTGGCCCTCGTCGAAGCGGTTCTGGAACCAGTCCTCGATGATCTTAAGGAACTCAGCATCGTCGGTCAGCTCATAGTACTTCCAGATGCCGTACAGGCCGACACCGTGCGTCCACTCCCAGTCGTTCCAGCCCTTGGTGTCGATGATGCGGCCGTCGGCCAGGGTCATGAGGAACTCGCCAGTCTCATCCTTGATGTTGACGAGATCGTGGATGAGAGACCGGACCTTGGCGTGGATGTCGGCCGACTTGAGGCCGTGGAGCTCGAGAGGCATGATGGTGGTGAGATTGGGGATTGGCGGTTTGCAGTAGTTGCTTTTTGTTTGTAGCGATTCTTGCTGTACTGCTTTTTCCTCAATGCGTTTCAGCGTTGGGGAGATAAGAATGTTCTCTTTGGTCTAGTATTGTCAACACCAAACAATGAAGGCTGGATGCGTGGCAAATGGCCCCGAAGGCCCTTGCCATCGGTGCAGAAGAACTCACCTCGTAACGACGTTTCTCACAATGACGGCATCAAACACGTTACAACCTTCCGATATGAAGAAAGAAGGGTGGGCAAGAAAAAAAGATTCGGCTTCTCGGCACAAGTTTCGTCGACGTGTCTGGACAGAATCGAGGAGAGCACGCGCCGGCAGGACGGCACCGGCTCGATGCAGCAGGCTCGTCAACCTTTATGAACATGCCCCGACTTTGGCGAGTCTGGGGGTGAGGGGCACGTCGAGACCCCTCCTTCTCGGGGGCATGGGCCATTGGCGTGCGAGTGGGGAGGCCCTCGGACTGATGCAGGCCGAGTGGGCGACGCCTCGCCGCCCCCTGGTGCACCAGTCGCACAAAGGGCTTACGTTCTGGTATTGGCAGTTGGCTAGTGCATTCACGAAGCCACGGGACTCCCGGTCTCTTCTCTGCGTGCTACCGAGCCTTGGGGGGGGCAGGTTAAGACGCACGGCATGACCAGAAGGTCACTGGCTTGATGGCCGTTGCCATTCTTTTCGGCATGAATTGTTATGCACCGGCTATTCTCGCCAATGAGAGAACGGTGCAAAGGCCCCCAAGCAAATGATCCCCCCCCCCCTGAAGCCCCCCCCGAAGCCCCAAGTTTTTACCCCTCGTTTTCTCTCTCCGTGGGGGTCTAATGAAAGCTCGGTGTGGAAAACTCCACGATGTCCACAGCGTTTCCCCTCATCTCCTCACCATCTGGTAAATTGGTCCAGTGAAAAAGCATTTATCTCCCCCCACCGTCTTACCCCATCGGGGAAGGGTTGTGGCTCATGCTCAGCCACATGAGCACCAGCGACGATGAAGATGCCCCGAAGTTCTCTCTTTGTCCCACTCAACAGCACAGGTACATAAGTATGCCTCGTGTGCTGCCCCTTTCTTTCATCGCATTTTGTCAGGACTCGGTCCATGAGTCTCCGGTTGTCGGCAGTTTGCCGGTGAATGCTTCATACGGGATCATGTGGCTTCCGGCGACTTCGGACGCAAGCACACTTTGTGTGGCCTGGAGTGACTTGACAAAAGCGCCCATGATCAGTCTCCTCTGCCAGTCTGGGAAGCAACTCAGCACGGATGATGCGGAAAAGCTGGCTATATACCGCTGTCGGCCGTCTTTCAGACGGAAAGAATTGCGACTGAGGTTGGGTCCGAGTGGCGATTCGGGAACCGAGACGTACTTACAATCGAAGCGATGAATCGATGAGACGAGAAATTTCTCCTCCTCCTCCAGGTTGCAAGACCATCCTGGGTTCGAGGCCACCGACACAGGAGAGTCGCGGCAGTCCTGACTGACAGCATCCAATAACACCCAACACAGCTCCATCAAGGCGTGGAAAGCGGGCATCGTGGAATTACATATTTAGTTACCGCTCACCTCAGCTACGGACCACGTTTCTCGTGATGATGTGAAGGGATGCCCTCCACCACGTCGGAGCAGGGTAGATACTCCGCGATCCGGCCGAAAAGGGATCCAAAGAGCCCCAGTCGGCCGTGGCGCGCGACTGGCTCGGGTAAACGGTCTTTGGTTCTCGTTAGGTCTAGCGTGCCATCGCTGCGCTGAACCGCTCAGCATAACAGCGAGCGGCCATCGGCCCTTGGCCGACACCGATGTGCTTGGAATCTGAAATGGAAAAGAGAGGGGTTCCCCAAAATGAGTGACGTTGCATCGAATTTGTTCTTGGCACACTGGAATCACGACGGGGGAGCCAAGCAAGCCACAGCCAGCAAAATTGAACCGGTGACGTTGATGGCACAGATAACCGAGAAGACCCTAGGAAAAGAGAACGAGGAAGCAAGAGAAATTTAGGAGAGAAAAGCCACGATGACGACGGGGTCATTTCACTGGTGGAAAGGGTCGACTCACCAGTCTATGCCGACATCCGACCACCTCGCCCTCGCCCGTCAAGCTTCTGCCAAGCAATCGGCACGGGCACCCTTCCCGCCTAGATTGCTTCCTCTTGTGACCAGGGGCCAGGGGGTCACGGCACAGCCAAAGAGCCGCAGGGCCATCACCAAGAGCCGCAATTCGGGACAAGAGCCTCAATGCTGGACTTGCCCTCACCACCATCAACGCATTCACCCATCGGGAGCCACGGACAGGCGGAATAGGAGTTGCAAGGGCAACACCACGATCCGAGAGATCCGATTTCGTGTTCCTGTCAACACGTCTCACGCCCCCTACTGACCCGACCTGGCGTTACCAGCCGTTGCAGGTTGACTCGCCGCTCTGCCCGGTCGACACACCACGACAAGTCGTTTGCGAGCTGGGGATCGACACGGCATCCCCGCTGTATTTTCGTCTTCGGCTGAATGATACCCCTTGGTTCCACCGTCGAGTCTCGCTGGGCAGCCAATCCAGCCGTCCGTCCCCAAGATCTCTATCTCTCTTCATGAGTGAATTAGCTCTATCCCCGCGTGCAACCCCATGGCACCAGTGAAGAAATCTGGAGTCGCTCGTCTCCAGACCCATGCCGTCCACGCTGCACTCGGGTTAATGTCACTGCCAGCGCTATGCCTCTCTTTGATTAGATTCGCATCCAGGGCGGTCGTGGAATGGGGTGGTTGATTTGTTTTAAAAAGACGCTGGCCCATGCTTACTTTGATGTGAATTTTTTAATGAGCAGGACTTTGACAGTTGAGGAAGACGATCGAGGCTTTTCTTTCTTCCTTCCACAAAGTTGAAGACTTGCTTCACTCCTTGACCCAGAGGGATCCCTCATCGACAACGCCCATCTCATCTCTGATTTCTCTCGTCCGGACCCCCCCCCCCCCTTCACAATTTCGCCCAACATGACCTCCAACGAGGCTGGCGACAACAAGGCCACCATTTCTCAACACGAGGATGGCACAAACCCGGCTGTCAACCCCACAGCCAGGCCGGACACGATCAACGACGACCCCGAGACGCAGTCCGTCGACATTGACACCAAGCAAGCCAACACGCGTTATGGCGAGATCGACAGGGAGCTGGCCAACTATGTCAACGCTGAACGTATCGAGATCTCGCCCGAGCGCAGCGACGAGCTCCGCCGCATGATCGACAAGCGCGTCCTCATCGTCATGATCTTGACGTACTTCCTCCAGGCCATCGACAAGGGCACCATGTCCTTCTCCTCCATCATGGGACTCCCCGAGGACACTGGCCTGGTGGATGCCGAAGGCAAGCTGGAGCAGTCGGTACGTTGCTACAGAATCACAATGAAAATCCCTCTTCCGCTCGCATCGCTAACGCCGCCGCTGGGCATTTGTAGTACTCCTGGCTGACGACGTGTATCTACATTGCCGTTCTCATCGTTGAATACCCCCAGAACTGGCTCATCGCCCGCGTCCCCATCGCCAAGTACCTCAGCTTCTGCATCGTCGCCTGGGGCATCACGCTCGCGTGCCACGCCGCCTGCACCAGCTTTGAGGGCCTGCTCGTCGTCCGCACGCTGCTCGGTATCTTCGAGTCGGTATGCCAGCCTGCCTTCGTCATCCTGTCCGGCATGTGGTACCGCCGCGAGGAGCAGGCTTCTCGCGTGACGTACTGGTACGCGCCCACTCTCCCACCCCCCACCTTGCCTTTTTTCTTTCCTTTTTCTCTCTTGTCTCGCTCGCTAACAAAAGGGGGTCCTCCAGGTACATGATGAACGGCGCGCAGCAGATTGTCGGCGGCCTGCTCGCCTACTGCTTCAGCCTCATCAAGACGGGCCCGCTCGCGTCGTGGCAGTGGCTCTTCCTCACGTACGGCGTCATCTCGGTCGTCTTCGGCCTGTGGGTGGGCTTCTGGATGCCCGACTCGCCGATGCGGGCGCACTGCTTCACGGAGGCGGAGAAGCACGAGATGGTCGAGCGCGTGCGCGACAACCAGACGGGCATCCAGAACAAGACGTTCAAGCGGCACCAGTTCGTCGAGGGCCTGACGGACCCGCAGGTCTGGGGCTACTGCGGCATCGCCTTCTGCACGACGCTGCCGACGTCGGGCCTCGGCGCCTTCGCCAACATCATCATCAAGTCGTTCGGCTTCAGCCTCATCGAGACGCAGCTGCTGGCCATGGTGCTGGGCTTCTACATCATCATCGTGCTGCTGAGCTCCGTGTGGCTCGCCAAGCGCTACAGCCAGAACCTCTGGATCATGCTCGTCTACTGCCTGCCCTCGTTCGCCGGCACGGCCGTGCTCATGACGGTGCGCAAGGGCAGCATGGGCACCAACGTCGGCCTGCTCATCTCGTACTACATCACCCTCTCCTTCTGGGCCGCCCAGACGCTCGCCCTGTCCCTCATCTCGCGCAACATTGCCGGCCAGACCAAGAAGACGGTCGCCGTCGCCATGAACTTCATCTTCTGGGCCGCCGGCAACGCCGTCGGGCCCCAGGTCTTCCTCCAGCGCGACCAGCCCCGCTACCTGATCGCCTTTTCCACCCACATGGGCTGCTACGGCCTGCTCGTCCTCATCATCATCGCCCTGCGCTTCCACCTCGTCCGCCAGAACAAGAAGAGGGACGAGCTGGCCGCGTCGGGCGTCGCCGAGGCGAGCCCGGACTTTACGTCCCACGCCTACGAGGATCTCACGGACAGGGAGAACCTGGCGTTCCGCTACGTGTTCTAGACTGAAGCAGTACGGGATTGAATCTTTTTATTTATTTATTTATTTTGGAAAATCTGTAGCGTAGGCATTACTAGAGCAAGAACTTAGACAGAGTGGGATGGTGTTGTGTGTACGACCATGGTAGAATGTGGTTCCGGCACCGCTGGAAGCAACGGGACGTGGTGGTGATAGGGGGCGTTTTGTGAGCGTAGTCATGACATGATGAATTGAATGGTTCTTCTCTTCTATGATTGATGTTATCCATGCACCATGCCAAGCTTGGAATCTCCATGATTTTCGACGGTACGCACGCCAATCGTCTTCACAGATGCTTTGATCGTAGGATAACCTTGCCCGACGTCGGCATGCATCACAAGGGAAATAGAGATGATGGTCTTAAGCGACCTATATGGGCAATGCGTTTAAAGGAGCTTCGCCGTCAACGCCAAATTCGATTTCAGACCAAATGACACCCAAACCTACTCATATCTTCACATTGCTGCGCATGTCAGCCTTCTCACTTCAGCCAGCCACCAAGTCCATCATGTTACACCAAGCTGCGCCAAACAAAGACCGCTCTCTAGTACCACGTCGGGCTTACAGTCCAGTGCCTCAGCATCGTTTCAACGCCACGATTCCACTCCTGCTCAAAATACCCGCAGAGCAGCTCCGCCTCCTCCGCCACTGGCCGTCGACCACCCCACATCTCTGGACGATTCGCCTCAACGGCAGCGTACACAGAAATCAGACCCCTGCACAGTTAGCATCTCGTGGTACCAAGAAGATGTTGTAGTCTCATGACGACTTGGTGACTTACTCATCCTGTATCTTGACCAGAATCAGCCAGGCCAAGTTCCAGCTCCGGTTCGAATCCGGATCGTTCCGCACAAGCCGGTGCGCGTCGCGGACGACATCGCCGCTAAAGGGATAGGCACGGGTGAGGCCGCGAAGCTCGGTGAGAAGCTGATTGCTCGAGACGTAATAGTCCCAGGCGGCGGTCATGGGGCCTTGGAAGGCAAGAGCATCATCTTCATCTTCACAGGTGGAAGCGATGCGCTCGATTCGGCAGAGCTCTGTCAAGGTGTTTACGCGATGGGTCTCAAGAGAGGTGATGAGTTGCTGAATGGAGGACTAGGGAAGTGATCAGATGAGGAAGATGTTGGAAGAGTAGACAGGCCGGAACTACTAACGCGAGAGCGATGGCTTCCGCTGCCGCGGGAGTGACGGCTGTACCCGCTGGAGCTGGAGGAGGGCATTGTAACGATGTTATCTGAGAATGGCGCAGATGATATCTGACTGAGCCTTTGCTGAAGGAGCTATCAAGTCACTTCAAAGTCCAAAGTGCTTGCTCGTAGGAAGGTGCTGATGATGTCTGTGTGAAATGTCAAGATGGCAGGAGACAGAGGACGCCGTCTTTATGAAGCAAACAATGAGCGCAAAGAATCTCCACGGCTTCCGGTGAGAGGTTGGCGATGCTGCCTCGACAGCTGGACAGCTCCTGAATCCAACGACAAGCCGCTCCAGGGGTCGAGGAAAGTAGGTGCCGAGCAGTGACCTCCGCGCGTCGTCGCAGTGGGAAGCAGTCAAGTCCCAACGCGCGTGTTCGTAGACAGGGAGGGTGTGTATGACAGATTGGACAAGATGGCAGGCTGAGGTCAGGAGGGTGTCTCGATCCGTCGATAACGAGTGGAAGGCCGACGCAAAATGGAGAATGAAGGTGGCCCAAATAGAACACGAGAGGGGCCCAGGTCGACCGCGAAGGACGACCTGAGCCACCTTGATTTGGATCTCAGGAAACCGTGACCCTCGAGCGGCCTGGCGGGGGACACCAAAAACTGCCGTGGGCCTTGGAGCGCGTGGTTGTCTGGGCTCGGTCCTAGCCGTGCTGTCATCTGAAGGAGCCGCATGCCGTACATCGTCATAAACGACGACGCCATTTCGGGACTACTGGACCTCGCACCCAGGCTTGGACACGCGCCCCGGCAGGATGGACCAGGCTGGTGGTGCTTGGTCAACTACGAGAGGCGTGATTCGCGACGAACGGGGTTGCAAGACATTAAACTTCGAGATAGATGGGTTTGCCGGGTCATGAGCATGGTGCGAGGAGGCATTCGCCGAGGGTCTGTAGGGAATAGCGCATCCTGCTTCCTGAGCCACCCCGGACCACGATCCTGCGATTTCGAGCCATTTTTTTCAATTCGCCTGGCACCAACGCGGAGCCGTGATGCGTCGATTGTGCGCCAGTTGTGCCCTGGGGGTCGCGTGGGACATCGTCCCAAAGAAGAGAATAGAAGCGGCAGAGGATTCGGTCCCTGCGCCGCCGCCTGGGAACAGAGAGGGGCCTTGGCCTAGCTGCGACAGAAAATAGAAGACCAGGGCGTTGGGTGCCAAGGGTCACAGCGGAGACGTGATTTGCGGAGCAGAAGGATGCAGGAGGATGGCGACGAGGGGCCCAGATGGGACCGGAGGATGAATGGCTTTGTCGTTTATTTGGGGGCCATTGTGATGTTAAGATGAAGGAAGGATGGTTGGTCGAGTTGTGGGAAAGGGGTGAGATCCTACGAAGACCGAGCTAGCTGCCTGCTCCTGCTCACTTCTTTTACCTGACCTTACCTAGGTGGTGCCTGCCTAGGTACCTTGCCTTGGGCGCCTCGCTCGCTGAAACGGCAGGGGTCTCCCGTAGGGCTGCAGCAGGCCTGCGAACCCAAGGCACAGAGGTGCTCGGGGCAGCTGCACAGCGCAGCCAAAGCCAGGAGGTAAGGTGAAGTACCTAGGTAAGCTGCAGTACCTAGGTAAGCTGCAGTACCTACCTAAGTAGGTACCTGCAGTGCCTCCCTCCCTCACATGCCGAGTGCGCCGCGCCACAATGTGGCGTCTGACAGCCGAAGGTAGACCTGGCGCGGTACACATGGACGTAGGTACGACCAGGAGGACGCGACAGACGTGCACAACAAAAGCATCTCACATACAGGTTCCCAGGCATTGTGAGCAAGGCAGTGAGGGCTAGGGTTGCTTCAAATTTATTTCCAAAATGTCATCAGAGTCTTTTCATCCCCCCCTCCACATCACCACTTGACCTGTTGAGGCAGGTCCCGCGAGCTCTGGCCCACGGAGAACGTGTACTCTCCACTGGTCACCATGACCCAGTTTTGCTGCACAACGTCCCAGTAGCTGAGATCGCGGCGTGTCAGATGGAAGCTCACCGACTTCTTCTCGCCCTTCTCGAGGTTGAACTTTTCGAACCCGCGAAGCACTCGGACCGGGAAGTCAATGTCCTTCTCCGTGTCTGGGTACGAGAGGTACAGCTGAGGGACCACCTTGCCGGCCACCTCGCCCGTGTTGGACACCTCCACCGTCACGGTAGCGTACGTCTCCCAGAGATCGGGGTTGCCGCCCTCGTCGCCGCCGGCGCCCGAAAGCGGGTGAGGCGTCTCGTACCCGTCAGGGTAGGGATACGCGCCCTGCTTGATATCGTCCACCTTCTCAAGGTACGGGTAGTTGTAACGCTGCAGTCGGCGGATGTTGTCGGGCCACAGGGCCTCCTTGGGATCGGGAATCTTCTCGTCAAAGCTGGGCGCCTTGACAGCGTCAGAAGGCCGCGGCGAGGGCAGCGCCGACTTGTCCTTGACAGTCTTGACCTTGATGTCGGAGAACTCAAAGGTGGTGTACGATAGACCAAACCCGAATTCGAAGCGAGGCTCAATGTTGTACTTGTCAAAGTGACGGTAGTCAATGTAGAGGCCCTCCGAGAAGTCCTGCTGGGGGTTGACGCCGTTGGGCAGGTACATGATCTGGCCTCCGGCTCCGAAATCCTTTAGAGACTTGGCAATGGTGTAGGGGAGGTGACCGTTGGGGTTCACGTCGCCGAAGACAACCTCAGCGAGAGCGTCTCCGCTCTCCTGGCCGGGAAGGTTGGCGTAGAGGACGGCCTTGACAGTGGGAAGGTCGATGAAGGCCTCGAGGTCGACGGGGCCGACTGAGTGAATGACCACAACGGTATCGCCCTTGCCGCTACCGCAGTTTTCGGCAACGTGCAGGATGAGGTCGTCACCGCCCTTCTGCAGGAACAGGTCGTTGCGGTCGCCGCCAACGCTGCCCCATGCGAGGAAGCCCTCGCCGGCATCGGCATTCGCAAAGACGAAGCAAACATCCTGGTCCTTCAGAACCGAAGGGTTCTTCTTGTAATAGTCAAGCTTGTTGTCCAGGTGCTCGGTCACGACAACCTTGTCGTCGTTGAAACCGTTCTTGAGAGAGTCGACGGGCGTGAGAAGGTACGGGAATTCGGCGGATCCGCTGCCCCAGCCCTCGCCGAGGGTACCTTGGTTGCAGCCGCGATCCTTGCAGTAGTTGGGTCCCTTGCCAGGACCAGCATCCTCGCCGAAAATGCCAACTTTGAGCTTACCATCGTGGCGCCTCGTCTTCTGGGTGCCAATCTCGCCATCCTTGCTGATAGGGAGGACGCCGTCATTCTTCAGCAAAACAGTGCCTTCGGCGGCGACCTGACGAGCAATATCCTTGTGATCCTTCAAGACCTCGACGTACTTGTTCACCTCAAACTCCTCTTGCGGGGTGTTGCTGCCAGGCGCGAGCACGCCCATCTTGTCGTCGGTCCAGGAGGAAAAGTTGGGAAGCTCGTCAGGGTAGAGCTCCTTGTCATCCTGGCCGAGTTGGTACCAGGAGGCAACGACACGAACGACCATGTCGTTGAGTCGGCTGAGGGGAACAGAGCCGTTGAGCACAGAGCGCGTCAGAGAAGAGCCCCAGAGCGACTTGCCGTCCTCCCATAGAAGGCCATCACCGGGCATGGTCATGTCAAGACCAGACAAGGCACTTCCGACGCCGGAACGCTGGGCCAGCCAGTCGGACATGACAAAGCCCTGGAATCCCATCTCGTCCTTGAGGAGGCCGTTCATGAGCTTCGAGTTGTCACAGGCGTAGCTGTTGTTGACCATGTTGTACGAGCACATAACACTGAAACGGTTAGCCTGAAATGCAGACAGGAAAGGAGGGGAGCATGGCGAAAAGAAGCAGTCTGGCTGGCATACCTGGCGACGCCGGCCTTGATCGAGTCAGCAAACGGCCACGCATAAAGCTCGTGCATGGTGCGGTCGTCAATGTTGGATGACAGGGCATTCGGGAGACCCCACTCCCAGCTCTGACGGAAGTGCTCCTGTTCGTTCGCCACAAAGTGCTTGATGGTGGCCATGACACCCTCATCCTGGATACCCTTGATGGTCTCAGCGGCAGCAATGCCCTGCAGGTAGGGATCAGATCCGAAACCCTCCCAGTTGCGACCACCGGCGGGCATGCGGCCGAGGGGCCCAACGCAGGGACCGAGTAGCACATTGATACCCTTGCGACGCGCCTCGTTGGCGTGGCCCTTGCCGCGGAGGTAGAACAGCTCCTTGTTGAAGGTGGCTCCGGTCGTGATACCAGCGGGCCAGGCGGTTGAGTTGTCGGCGAAGCGGATGCCAAGAGGGCCGTCTTGCAGCTGCAGCTGGGGGAAGCCGACGTTGGTGGCCGGTCCGGTAGTGCCGACAGCAAGGCCCATACGCCAGCCAGTGCCGGTCGTGATGTTGACCTTCTCGGGCAGGGTCATCTTGGAGACCAGATCGGCAGCCTTTTTGTAGCTTTCGGCCCACGATTTGGCGGTGCCACCTAGGGGTGTTGGGTACCAGGGGGGCGACTGACCAAGGGGCGGCGCGCCCGTGTACTTGTGGTAGACGACGGCGCCTCCGGCGCTGAGAACAGCCCAGAGGGTGAAGATGATGCTCGCGAAGATGATGCAACATCTTGAGCGACCCTTGAAAGGTCTCTTCCACGAGGAGAGTATGCCTGGCCGGTCGCCCCCCAGGAACGCAGGCTTGGGTTGGTCTTTGGAGTCAAACCCGGACTTCTGTGCAAGGTGTTCCGTGACGTCAATGTCGGACTCCGAGTCGTATCCATCATGAGAACGACGAAGCTTGGCCTCGTCTTCAGCGAGCAATCGCTTCTGGCTGGCGTCCATGGCGATGGTAGATGGCCAAACAGCTATGAGTTGACGGGAAATACGGTAGGGAGAACCGTGGTGTCAACGTTCCGGAGGTTGAGCTTTTTCCTTTGGAGAGACTCTGCCGACTTTACGAGACGGTCAAGTGCCGTGCAGGGTTCAGCGTCTGGTTAAACGAGTTCTGCCTTGTCGTGTGACAGCGCAGCCCTGTCTCAATGTTTGCCAACCAGGGCGAGGTGACGTGTTTGTCGATATCGACAAGAGAAATTGCGGTGAGCCTGCAGGAAGACCGCAGGATGCTTTGACGCGAACCAATTGATGCTGAGAAAGGGTGGTAGAGGAAAGGGAAGACGGATTGTCTCCTCGACGTGGAGGGAGTCGATGGTCTTTCAAGCAGTCGCAACGTCCTGGGTCCCCGGCGGAGGAGCTCCCGCCCAACTGGAAGTGGCAGAAAGCTGATGCACTGGCGGGGAGAAGCTCCAGCGCATCCGATCCCCGCTTGGACGCTGGAGCAGTCCACTGAAGCACGCCAGGGCGCGCCCAGCAGCCCACAGCAGCCAACGAGGGGGGTGGGGGGCGGGCTTGGACCTGTGACGTAACCCCCCTGATTGGCGCGGCATCGCGGTACTTCGGGCCTAGCTTTGGTCGCTCCTGAGCCATGATCGCCTGCAACGGCCGCCCTTTGCACTGTGATCGACGTTGGCTGCGGCTAAACTTCGCTTCAAGCCGCAGCACAGTGTGTTCCACTTGTAGCCCGTCCTTTAGTCGTCGATCGTTGTCAGTCGTGGGACTTGAGGAAAAAGAAATCTGCCCCTCACTGATGCCGGGCACACAACCGTCGACCTACAGTCGAAGATTCCGTAGTTGTCGTTTGGCTCATTGTTCACGAACTCTGATCCATAGACTGGGCCCTCCGTGTCAAACAACCGCTGAGCTCTTTAGCTCCACGCTAAACAGACTGGCCGATGATTCCCTTACCCTGACCCCTGGATTATCAGTTCGCTGCTGGCATCTCGCCTTTCCACACCAGCGTTTATGCGAGGCTCGATCAAAGGATGCCAATCAAGAATCGCCAACGGGCTCCGAAAGCCATTGCCCTGGCAATTTGAGGACTTTCCAGGGTCATGGTGATTGCAACCCTAGCTGAGTCATGGAGCAGTGTCTCATGGAGCGTGCTGTTTGACAAGCGTCATGCCGATGAACTGCACACACCCCCAGTCACGTGGAATATAAACTGTCGGAAGCACTATCGAAGCTCTGAATCGCTCTACGTCGGTCCAGAAAGAGACGGGCGAGTCACAGAGGCAGCGCTGGGCTGTTCCTTCCCCAGTGTGCTCGCATCGGCATGACTGCGTCCCATTTGGTTTTGCCAGATGATAATGAGTCCGTCCCAACTTGGACACAACGCCAAGGCATCAGCCTGCCATGCTATAACACCCTGGCTTGGAATGCGGGCTGTTGATAGAGAGCCTGCGCTCTACGGACAAGGACAAAGACGACAGGAGCAGAAAGTTTGAACTCACTGATATCTGACGCCACTGAAGCCCTGAACACGATGTTTCGATCGATGATTTCCAAGTGGAGCCATCGTTCGGCACACCCTCACAGCCAGACCACAGGCGAGAGCCTCGGCGGCAGCGGCAGGCCGGTTCCGATCGGGACGAACTCCTCCATGCTCGGAGGGACCGTTCGTGGAGCAGGTGATGCAATGTCAGCGGTAAGTGATTGCTGGCTAACAGCCCAGGTGGTCTATCTGCAAAGAGCGGCAGGAGAGGGGGAAATGACGTTTGACAGGCAGACGTCGCGGCTCACGATAACTACGACACCATGAACCCAGGCCAACTGATTGTACGCCGTAGAGATCGAACGCTGTGGTGGGTGATCAGGCGGCGCTCATCGCCACATCTTCTGTTGAGGCGTTGCACGTGCGGGAGTCGGGACCTGCGTATCTGCAAGTGCAGTGACGACACTGAGAGCAAAGACCGAATTCAGTCCGCCGGTGACTTCAGAGAAGTGCAGGTAGGTGACCGGTAAACACCTGCGTGAGACCCGCCGTCCCGCAACTTCTACTCAAATGACGGGAGAGTACTGGTGGTACGATGTACCTTGTGGGAGATGCCCAGGCGTAAAGCGGCTGCCGGCATATCTGAGGCCTCGCTGTGCGACCTCGAGGGATGTGAAGCAGAGATACATGGCTCATGGATTTCCTTAATTAATCAACATACTCGGATATTGTTTGCCCTAAGGCTTGGCCTCCTACCATACATCTTGTGTTCTCGCACATTCGACATGTCTACCTATGATTTAGAGGCTCAGTATGACGGGACTAGGGATGACAGGTGAGCATTAGAGCGACATCACTTCACAACCTTTTACGATAAGAGAAGGTTCTCTTGGCTAAAAAATGGTTCAATTTGCTGAAGCTCGTTGCGGGGTCTCGAATACGTCGACAGGAGTGTACCACCACAACATTGGATCTGCTGTGACTGTAAGTCACGGACACCACTTCTGCAGGGCATGCACTGACGTTCTGAGATAACGAGGCACCGCAGGGTTATCCCAGGCTGGCCCGCTACATGGCCACAGCGGAGAACTTGAGCGTATTCCGCCAGTTTCGATACCTACAAACGCGCATCATGTTGCAGCTGCAGGACGAGCTGCGGGAGCTCGAGACACTACTGTACAGGCTTGACGAGAGAGACCGCGAGTTCCCCGGCATGTTGCGGAGCAGAGAATACTGCGACAAGAGATCCCGAACCAGGAAGATGCTGCTGCACCGGACCCGGAGGAAGTGGATGGACTACGGTATGAGTAGAAATGCCTTCGTTCGGTATGTCCGTGCTAACCAGACACCAGCCGAATTCATAGGGAAGACCAATGACGTTCGATCGTTGACGAATGCCTCGAGATACCAGCTGGGATATCTGAGCAGTTTCTTCCGCCCACGTCCTCCCATAGACGGCAACGAGAACTTTCTCGTAGCTGACGGGGACCTGAAGAGCGTCAGGCCGGACGGAGACGGCGTCTGGCTGGATGAGGTACTGCTGTACCTGATGATCAGATATGAGTGTCGGCCCCTGAGGGTGAGCAGCCTGCAAAGCTTGAGCCAAGGAAAAATTGCTGATCTGAGTCGATTGTTGCCAAGTGGCTGTTTGGGTCCAAGGTGAGCCGTACCAAATTCTCCACTTTGCGTGCGCACCTGAGAGATCTCAAGAATAACTTCCTGGCTCTAGATCAGCCAGATAGATGACGACCAAAGACAAGATGCACGTCAAAAACAAACACGAACCGAAAAGCCGGCCAGCGCGAGAGCCCCGAGCTCGACAGAACACGTTGAGCAGCAACACGGACAACGGACGACTCGCGCGAGTCAGAGGAGCCCGAGACACACGCTGTACGATAAGGATCGAATCCACGCGTTCACGATGGTCATCCTGATCGGGCTCGTGCTTTGCTTCCTCGCTGGACCTCTGTATCCCCTCTACAGCTGGGTGCAAGGTGAGGTGACGCCTGGGAGGATGGGCATGATCATGGGACTGCAATGTGTGTGTACCTTGCTGTTCGGCATGGTGCTGGCTATCTTTACGAATGCGAAGCGGCATGAGATCTTCACAGCCTCAGCGACGTGAGTGACCCCTCATCGGGGAGGCACGAAGACAAATGGCGACTGACGTGAGACGCGAGCCACAGCTACATGGCCATCTTGGTGGTTTTCATGGGACAAAGTCCAGCGTAGTGGGCCACATGGACTGCCGTTCAAGCGAATGAGAAGCTGCAGATAGATGGATTGTCAGTGTGGATGAAAGCGCACGTCATCCCACGGCTCCAACCCCTCCGAGCTGGTCGAAGGGACTTTCACTCGGGATGGAAAACTGACGGATTTCTGATGAGAAAGCATGAGTGGAGCACATGGCCTGGAAATAATGGGTCCGGAGGGTGTTATCGGAGACGGGTGCTTATCAGACGGAGCAAGCGAGACAAAACAGGGAAGGCAAAGGGGAAAAGCCAGGCTTATCGGAGGAGGGGCTCCATGTGATAAGACAAGTAGCGCAAAAGATAAAAAAAAAAATCCTTCACATGGACCAAGGGATTGGATGGCGGGGTGTCTTGGGTCGAGGGGCGGGCGAGCAGGAGGAGGGGTACACTTTCCCTTGGTGACCTGCTAGCACCTGCCCTGGAGACTCCGCAAGGACCGCTAGGAAGACCCTGACGGTTGCACCTGGCTGCCCTGTACTGCGCCTGACTGATCCGCGCCAGCGCCCAAGCCTGAGCGACAAAAGTACAGAAAAGGGCCTCTGCTCTGTTCCAGATTTTCCCCTTTGCGACCTGACACACTCGGAGCCCAGAGACAGTTGGCTTTTTTTTTTTCTTCCTTTCCTTCTCTCCTGTCTCCCTGTGGCCGAGTTCTCACGACCTCGCCCTCTACACCTCAACCAGACAGACCTGAGTAGCCAAAGAATCAGTCTTGCTCTCCCCGCCGATTTCTCAACGCCTCCACAGTCAGATCCAGGTTTTGAACCTGCGATGCCTCACACCGTCTCTCCTCCACCAGAGCCCAACATGACGATGGTGTCGAAGGCTGCGGGCCCTGCCCCGTCGCAGCAAGACGTCTCTGCCTTCATCACTACCATCTTTACCGCCCAGACCTCCAACCAGTCCATCGAGGCCTCCTACGGCCTGTGCGAACTCCTCCTCAACTCGGTCGGCTCCCAGGGCCTCGAGTCTTACGGCGTCCTCGCTGAGATTAAGAAGGCCGCTGCCGACAAGAAGAGCGGCCTTCGTCGCGAGAGCGCTCAGAACCTTCTGGGTGCACTCTTTGAGCGCTTCCCGGCCAAGCAGCCTACCAGCGAGACCATTTTCCTCCTCAGGAACGGCGGCATTGTCAACGTGGCCCTCGACGCTCTCGCGGACAAGGGCACTGTCGTGCGGGACGCGGCGCAGTATGGCCTCGATGCTCTGTTTGCTCACCTGAGCCCCGAGGCTCTCGTCGTCGGCCTTCTCCCTGCCCTCTCCGCGTACCTCAGCAAGTCTACCGGCAAGTGGCAGGGCACCGTCGGCGCCTACAAGCTCCTCCAGAAGATGGCCGATAAGGCCAAGCTGATCGTTGGCTCCACCAAAGAGCAGGCTGCCGAAGGCGATGTCCTGCGCGACTCCCTCGGCACCAAGCTCGCTGGCCTCATCCCCATTGTCGAGGCCGGCATGCACGACCTCAAGGCTGAGGTCGGCAAGCAGGCTGTTCAGGCGATGAACTCGCTCACCAACCTCTTGTCTAACGACGACGTTGCCCCCCGAATCCCTCTCCTCATCGACACCATGGAGCACCCCTCCATCGACACCCTCCGCAAGGCGATCCACGCCCTCTCGCAGACTACCTTTGTTGCCATCGTCACCTCCCCCGTTTTGGCCCTCCTGACGCCCCTTCTCGAGCGATCCCTCAACACTCCCTCGACCTCGCAGGAGGTTCTCCGACAGACCGTTGTTGTCGTGGAGAACTTGACCAAGCTCGTCCACGACCCTATCGAGGCCCGCACCTTCCTGCCCAAGCTTCAGCCGGGTGTCAAGGGCGTCTACGACCGTGCCTCGCTCCCTGAGGTTCGTGAGCTCGCCAAGAGGGCTCTCGACGTCATCGAGAAGGCCATGAAGGGCGACAAGGATGTTGTCGAGCGCATCTCCGCCGCCGATGTCGACAAGGTCATCGATGCCGAGGTCAAGAAGAATGGTGGACTGGCTGGCGAGGCTGCCTTCGTCAAGGAAGTCCGCAACTATGTTGCTGAGCAAATCGCCGAGGATGTCAACCACCGCCACGTTGACCGTGTATCCGCCCGCATCTCGCCCTACTTCCAGACCTTCACCGAAGCCAGCGCCATCATTGCCGACGCTGTGCAGCAGTACTACGTCGAAGAGGACGCCCGCAAATTTGGTGTCCCCGAAAGGGAGGATGACGGCGAGACTGAGATCGTCAACGCCGACTTCTCTCTTGCCTATGGTGGCATGCTTCTGCTCTCCCACACCAACCTTCGTCTTCTCAAGGGCCACCGCTACGGTCTCTGCGGTCGCAACGGTGCCGGCAAGTCCACTCTCATGCGTAGCATTGCCAACGGCAAGCTTGAGGGCTTCCCTCCCCAGGATGTTCTTCGTACATGCTACGTCGAGCACAACCAGGGCGAGGATGCCGAGATCAGCATTCTCGAGTTCGTGTCCAAGGACCCTGAGATCGCTACCCAGGGTCGCGAGAAGATTATTGAGGTTCTTGATGAGTTCGGCTTCACCTCTGGTCCCGAGGGCAGGCAGTCGCACAAGGTTGGCTCCCTGTCAGGTGGATGGAAGATGAAGCTTGCTCTGGCTCGCGCTATGCTTGCCCGCGCCGACGTCCTCCTGCTCGACGAACCTACTAACCACTTGGATGTTGCAAACATTGCCTGGCTCGAGAATTACCTCAAGTCTCACACCGACATTACTAGTTTGATCGTGTCCCACGACTCTGGATTCCTCGACAACGTCACGACCGACATCTACCACTACGAGCCTGGCAAGAAGCTTGGCCACTACAAGGGTAACCTCGCTGCCTTTGTCGAGGTCAAGCCCGAGGCGAAGAGCTACTACACGCTCTCGGCCTCTCAGGTCCAGTTCAAGTTCCCTCCCCCGGGAATTCTTAGCGGCGTCAAGTCCCAGACGCGTGCCATTATCCGCATGTCCAACGTCTCGTACGCCTACCCTGGATCTGACAAGCCGTCGCTGTCGGAAGTATCGTGCCAGCTCTCGCTCTCTTCCCGCGTCGCCATCATTGGTCCCAATGGTGCCGGAAAGTCCACTCTGATCAAGCTGCTTACGGGCGAGACAATTCCTACTACCGGAAAGGTAGAGAAGCACCCCAACCTGCGTATCGGTTACATCAAACAGCACGCTCTCGAGCACGTTGAGATGCATCTCGAGAAGACTCCCAACCAGTACTTGCAGTGGCGTTACGCCAACGGTGACGATCGTGAAGTCTTCCTCAAGCAGACTCGCATTCTCTCCGACAAGGACCGTGAGCAGATGGACAAGATGATTGATCTCGGCGACGGAAAGGGCGGTCGCCAGCTTGAGGCGCTCGTTGGTCGTCAGAAGTGGAAGAAGACATTCCAATACGAAGTGTAAGTCTCAACGCCTTGTCAAGCATTGCGGTCCACTAACATTCTTCAGCAAATGGCGCAACTGGCTGCCCAAGAACAACAGCCAGGTCTCCCGTGAGACTCTTTCGGAGTGGGGTTTCGACAAGGTCGTCCAAGAGTTTGACGACCACGAGGCTTCGCGCGAGGGTCTCGGCTACCGTGAGCTCCAGCCCTCCGTCATCTCCAAGCACTTCCTCGACTTGGGTCTCGACCCGGAGATTGCCAACCACAACGAAATTGGCTCTCTTTCTGGTGGCCAGAAGGTCAAGGTCGTCATCGCCGGAGCCATGTGGAACAACCCCCATCTTCTCGTGCTCGACGAGCCTACTAACTTCTTGGACCGCGACTCCCTCGGTGGTCTTGCTGTTGCCATCCGCGACTTCAAGGGTGGTGTCATTCTCATTTCCCACAACGAAGAGTTCGTCGGAGCGCTCTGCTCCGAGCAGTGGCTCGTCAACGACGGTCGCGTCGCGCACCGCGGCACTGCTGCCGTCTCCCTCGACCGCTTCGAGGACTCGTCCCGCCCTGGCTCCGGCCTTACCTCGGGCGTCGCCTCGACGGCGGCCAGCTCGGCCATGTCCTCGGCTGTCAACTCGGGCACCGAAGACAACGGCGACCTCAAGTTCAAGGCCAAGAAGAAGCGCAAGAAGACCAAGAAGGAGATCAAGGAGCAGGAGGTCCGTCGTCGCCTCCGCCACATTGAGTGGCTCAACAGCCCCAAGGGCACCCCTCACCCCGTCGACACCGACGACGAGTCATAGGCGTGCTTGACGCAGACCGATCGAAAACGTATAAGTACGGTTTCGGATCGTCGAATGCACGAAGGCTCGTGAGATTTGGCCAGACGGCAAAACGGGCCAGCAATATACCCCCCAACCCGTCACGAGAGATGTGGAAACGAGTAAAAACCAAAAGCGTATGAGGGGCTGGATATCTGGCCAGGACCAGTTGGACAGTCATTTCGAAGAAAAGGCGGGATTGAAGCGGTAGAATAGGCAAGGGAGAGGTCCCCCCCCCCGTTGAGGGTGGCTACCTAGATTTTTTTTTTGTTTTGTTTTGTTTCTATCAGGCAAGACCTCTTCTGTTCTCATTTTGCGAACATGGTCTTGATTTCTGCTTCTTCTTCTTGGGTTGCGGGATCACTTCTCCGCCCGCTCTTTCTCGATGATGGCCCAGACAAGAGGGGCCGGATGGATTTCCTTTACAACTCTCCATCCGAACAAACTGGCATAGAGGCGTTTAGCATTAGATGGGCGCGCGTCGTTGTGGCGCAGAGGCATTTTGCCGCGCGACGAAATATAGGGAGAAGATTTTCTTTTTGACTGACATGTTTATAAGCGCCTCCCTTCCCGCCTGATGCCTCGTGTCATGTCCATACCAATTGTGCTGAACGAACCTCACAGGACCATGAGTACGTGTCTGCGTCAATAGTCAATCAGGGTTACGACCGAGTCCTGGACAATACAGAGCAATGTATCACTTTGCGATTACGAATGGCAAATTTTCAGAATAGATATGCACATAGAGTAGTCGTCAATTTCTCTGGTTCCTTGGGCAATCTGCCCTAGTGATCAACATTCCCGCGCTTTCTCAAGCGCACCATGGCCAAGTCGTCAAGCCTAAAGCTGAGCCTGGCCCCTTATGAACCTCTCGTAAAGAATTAAACTTTAGATAAAGCGATACGGTGCGAAGGAACTCGAGAGTTCTCGTCGTCACTACGTACGTAGCCTCCCCTCTGTTCGCCGCGTCCTGTCTGCGCGGTGCTAAATATCCAGGTGGTGTCTAAGTGGTTCGTGTAGATGTGCGAAAAAAGGATCAAGTTTCAACCCAACGCCAATGTGGTCCCAGGTCTATAAATCCCGGCATCCCGTCAACGCCTATTCGAGTATGTACACAGCTCAAGCTGTATGCCCCGTGAGGCGATCGCGATTCATCATGTTTGGAAAAGTTTTTCTTTTCAAGTTGCTTTGCCGTATGTAGGGCGTGTATTGTGCATGCTGAGCCTCGCCTTTACCATGAGAAAGTCATGAGAGCTGGGTTGAGGGCAATGGGTAGGAGGAAATGACTCGCGGCGACAGTGGCCATTGGCAGAATGGCAACGAAGTCGGTAATACGCCAGTCGTGAGGCACGAAATCTGCCACAGCGAGGATGATCATCGCAGCAATAAAGGTCAAAGAGAAGATCATCGAGAATTTGAACTGTAATTGGGCACACGTCAGCAGACTGTTGCAAGGAAAGGAAAGCTGAAGTGAACAATGCCCGCTGATTGGTGCGAGGCCCAGTGCGTGTGGTGAGAGGTGCACTTTCAGCTGCGCCACCAGCGCGGGATAATCGGATGCTTGGGGTAGGGAGAAACTGACCTTCTTAAGAACCTTGGGCACCTCGATGAAGAAGTTGGAGAACTCGGCCTCTTTGGATGTCGCTCCCCAGGTCATGTTGATTTCGAACATGTGCGCCAGCAGAGCCTGACTGACGTGCAGGCTAAGACCACCAAGGAAGATCGCAAGCATAATGGTCCACTTGAAGTTTTCAAAGAGCGACCACAGCAGGCTGCGTTCGCCGATACGATAACGCATGACGGCGAGAGCAATGTTACCGAGACCATTGAAGACGATGACGATGGAGAACCAGACCTTCCACGAGTCGATGTAGTACTGATCGAGGTATCCGTTGAACCAACCCATGGCGAAGTAGTTGGCAGCCGTCATGATCCAGGCAGCTCCGATGGCGTAGTAAGTACCAATGTACGAGACAACGGTGATCTTGGAGGTGAAGCGAATGTTGCTGAACAAGAATGTGCGGAATAGTGGCGTGAAAGGACCCCTCCAGAGCCAAGTGCGGATGGGGTGGAACAGCAGCTCGTTGCAACCATAGGCATACTTTTCCCAACGGGCGAGCTCGTCGTAAACGGTCAGCGACACACCCTCCTTGAAGCCATCACCGGCCCAAGCAGCGAGACGAATGATGTAGCCGTTGCATTGAAGACGTAGGGACATGTCAAAGTCCTCCGAGACGTGGGATTCGGACCAGAACTTCTCGTAGCCGTCATGGTCAAAGTATCCCACCTGCTGAATGGCACTCCAACGGAGGATGGCGTTGTGACCGACAAAGGGCGCGACATCGCCGTTGGCGACGGTGTAACGAATGGCTGTGTAGATGAGGTTGGTGAAGAACGTGATACCGTTCTCAAAGTACGTGTTGACAACTTGCATAACACCAGATGAGAACTGCATAATGCCAACGTCGGGAGATTGCTCCAGCTCCGAAACAGCATCGAGAAGACAGTCTGAGGGGATACGCGTGTCAGAGTCGATAATGAGGATATAGTCGCCAACGCGGATGTTGCCGTCGGCCCAGGCGCGAGGGTTCTCCTCGAGGGTCTCCTTGAGAGCTAGCTCGTACGCCTCAGCTTCGTCATTCTGCGACCATTCGGGGCCACGGTTGATTGCAAGCAGCTTCTCCTCGACCTTGCAAGAGACCATGAGGCCATAGTTCATGTTCGACGCCTTTTTGAACTTGCCGCCACGGATGAAGCCGTCCTCGCCATGCTTCGGGCGCGCGACCCAGCCGATGCTGTTGTCAGCGTAGAATTCGATGCGCGTGCGGCGCTCCTCGTCGGAGAGAAGCTGCAGGCCGTCATCGTTGACGAACATGTTAGCAGAGCCACCCTGCAGTTCGTATGTGGACATGGCCTGCTTGATGGACTTGACCGTGGGAACGATGACACCGGCCAAGCCCTCCTTGTATACAGGGCACTGGATGGTAACATGAGGCAGGATATTGCCCTGCAGTCTGGGCGGCGGGCGAGCAGAGTAAAACTTCGAGTTGATGGTCAGTTGGCGGATGGGACCAAAGATCTGGGCCAAGCAGCCAATGATGACCTGGGCAAAGAAGAGGGTGAAGAACACCTGGATGGGGAAAAGGGAGATGAGAGCCAGACGAACGTAATTGCCGTCCACGGCAATCTGGAGGGCGAGAGACCTCCAGGCAGCGCCGAGCGCCACGGTGACGAGAATCAGAGTGAAAGTGACAAGCCAAGTGTTCATGAGATGAACGGGGCGCTTCTCGGGGATGATCTCGCCGCTCTCTTCGTCAATCTCGACTTCAGCCACGTTCGGGTCGCGTTTCTCGCCGCCTTCTTCCTCTTCTTCGTTCCCTGCCTTCCACACGAGCTCCATGAGTTCAGACTCGATGGCCTTGGCTCGGGGAATCAAGTGGAGTGCATCATCGTCCCACACGATCAGAAGGCCTTCGGATGCGACAAAGGCAGCAAACTGGTGCTTCCTAGCACGCGTCAGGTCCTCGATCGTGGGCAGAATCTGCACACGGAGACCGTTCATCAAGGGGACATCCACGGCGTCCGGCGACCACTGCAGGAACGTCTTGATGACACGGGAGTTGACGGTCATGGCGCACTGAACATTCAGGGCGGCAGCGGCCTGCGCAAAGGGAGAGCTGCCCAGTTGAGGCGGGCACGCCATGTACTGGCCTCGGTGCTTCCTCAGCAAAACGCCCTCGATCTCGCCAGACCCGTCGCTGACCCAGAGGTGGGAACACTGCTGCTGGTACAGGTAGTTGACCATGACTTCATGCTTAATGTCGTCGAGGAACATGCTGCTGGCAGCAGACTTTGTGGAGCGACCCGAGACAGACTGGGGACGCGAGCTAAAGCGCGGGGTGGGCGCTTGAAGCTCCATGTCGTTTCCGACAAAGCGGTCTGATGGCGGCTTCTCTGAAGCCGCTGACGGCTGTTTAGGCTTGTGGGCGCGAGGCGGCGCAGTCGCAGCCTGCTCGGGCTTACTGCTCGCCTTGAAGTAACTTCCGATGCCCATTGTGGCGGGTAGCACGGGAAGGCTGAATGCGTTGTTGAAGGGGGGTGGGCACCCTCCAATCTGCGGAGGACGCAAGGAACGACGTCAAGTCAGTTCCGGAGAAGAGCTTTTCACTACGATATCAGCCAAGGGGTTCCAAGAAGTTCTGTTCGGGGGGCCGGAGCGGACCTGGCTTATAGCACAAGCGTGCTGCCGTTTGCGGGTTGCGTCTCGTCGGGGAACAGATATGTTGGATCCTCCGAGTATGACAGTGGTTGCAATGGAACGCACGCTCGTGGCACTGGTTCTGACGAGAAGAGCACCGGGAAACGACAATTGGAAAGAGTGTATAATGGTTCCGCAGCGGAACGTGCAAAGCGAGTGGATGAAGGTGTTCAGGTCTGGCTGGCGTGGGTGAACGGCAGAGCAAGGACAAGCGGTGGCCTACTTCGACTATGACCTCTTGTCAGTTCCCAGGTCAGTTGGGATGGGGAGGGCAACACGAGATCAAACACGGTCGAAAAAGAAAGATGGGAGGGGATGCTTGAAGCCGCGCGAAGGAGGGAAGACAGGGACGGATATGGATGAAGAGCAAGTCCGAGTTGGAGTCTTGGAAGAGGTGGAAGTGACGGATCGATGTGCTAGTAGGCCCTGGCCCCGTCCAAGCTACTGCTAGCTCGGACGAGGAGGGGGGAAGCAGACCCGGTTGAATGGAAAATGGGCCTTACATCAGGGTGGTCGCCAAACGGTGGATATGCGCCAGTGTGGCAGTGGGATTCTCGCGGGAGGGCTACCGAGAGGGTCAGAGACGATTGACGCGAGCGGCCACCGTGCTCTCTTGGCCGAGGGAAATGTCGTCCGGGTATTGCTCAGGTGAGGCGATATGCGGCCGAGCGGTGTTTTGGTCGAGGAAGAGAAAGCGAGAGAGGGAGAGGGAGAGAGCGAGAAAGAGAGACGCAGAGACGGCCGACGAGGAGACGTGCTGGCGAGTCGTCTATTGCACCGCGACTGAGTACAAGAGGGCGTTCGTCTTGTGGTTGTTGGTGTAAGGGTGTTGAGGTTTGTGACTGCAGCAATGAAGTGCGCCACGGTATGGTTTTCTCTGACCCTGACCTCTGTCTGACCTCTGTCTGACCTCTTTCGTCCTGAGAGAGGCGTGGGTGTGGGCTTAAAGGCTTGAAGAAGATGGCGGCAGCTGAAGAGAGAGGAGAGGTGGCACCTGAAGTGAACGAAGGACTGGTGACAGTGTGGATGCGTGTCACTGGATGAGGGCCTCGGCCACCGGTGGGTTGAAGGACGAGGAGGGGAGGGGTGGGTGGCGGCTGGGAAGGAAAAGAAGAGAGAGAGAGACGACAAGACGACGAGTCGACAAGACACGATGCCGGATACAGCAAGCCCAGTCTCGCTCGTTCTCTACACCATGTACCTCGCTCCTTTCGCCGCCTGTCATTGTCGGACGTCCTGGCTCTTCCCTCCAGTTTGACCGGGCCCAGGACAGGGGAAGGGGAGGCAGGCACCACCGACAGAACACGGACAGCAGGCAACGGGCAGCGGGCGACGAGCAATCGACGAACCCGAACGACACACGAGGGGAAACCATGGAAAAAGTCGACCAGGGGGCATAATGACAAGGGCCAGGGGCCATGGGGCAGGGGTAAATGGACACGAGCCGGGGGGGGCAGGGGTGGCCCAGACAGAGGAAGGCGAAGCATGGCTCTCTGGGCGTTGGTGCTAGTCGCTGTCCAGAAGGTCTGCCTTGGCTGTCTCTGCTCACCTGCCGCCAGAGGTAAGGTCCAAAAGCCCGCTCTGATTACCTTTACTCTACCTACAGTGCTCGGATGGTCGTGGTGAGGTGACCGTCGCGGTGGCTGCGGGTAGGTACGTAGGTAGCGATGGGGACTGAGGTGCCATGCAGTGCCCACTGTTGAAGAAGCGGTCCGGGCTCTTTGTGTGTTCGGCCGGTGCCCACCCACCCCCCTCCTTTGTTATCCCTGTTCATCTACTCTTTTATTCGATTTTCTGGGAATTTATTTTATTCTGATTATTTTTTGGCCGTGGTTCGCTCTCCTTTTGTCCCACCCGTGGCGCTTATCCTAAACAGCTGTAGTAGCGGGGCCACAAGACCAGGGGTCCTTTATCCTCCCGCCTCGTCTGTCTTTCTTTGTCGTCTTGGCATTCACACATTTTTGGACCTTGCTGTTGGAATCGGGTCCTCACCAGCAGTGAGCAGTATCTATCGCTGGGACAGAACACAGCAACAAAGGCGCAGACACGGCTCACAAACGAGTCTATTCAGCTGGCCGAAAGACCGATGGATTGCCACCTGGCTTCAACAGACCTGCCGTCGCTGTCACATCCACCGTCATAGTCGCCGACACAGCCATGGCCACGGCCAACGGCACCGTCCGCTGCCTGACCTGACTATGCAACGACGGGCGAGAGCCCATGCACGTAAACGACAACAAGCTGAGACAGCGATAGGACATGAAGCTATTGCTTCGCCGGTCTGCAGGCCCAGGCTCCTAGCTCTCAACCAAGAACAGGACGAGTGCTGTAACTGGGACCAGAACAGGCATCAAAAGACGAGCCAGACAAACCTGCGCCGAGTTCTCCGAGCCGCTCAATCATGATCCTTCGCGCGCAGCCTGGGACTCATGGTGGTCGAGTCAAATTGCAGACCATGACGAGGCCGCTATCCGATCGACGGAGAGCGGCGTCAAGCCGACTCGCCGACGTATCATGGGCAGCCCCCCTAGGCTGTGCCTCGACCACTCAAGGCTATTCGCTGCCACCGTCATCCGTATTCGACGGGGTCAAGTCAATCATGTTGTCCTTAGGCCTCTCCGTTCAATGACGGGGATAGATATTCTCCTTCTACATTGCATCGTCCCGGTCACCCCCAAGTTTCCACTGGCGCCTGCGACCACAGAGTAATCACGCCGAGATGACCGCCAACAGGATTCAATAGTCGACAAACTGCTAAGACATTGCTGGCGGGCTAGGCATTGGCAAGCCTTGGTAGAATAGGCGGAAACACGACATGGTGACGTCCGTCGAGATAACGGCCTCCTCGCTGGTGCAGAGTCCAATTTCCCGTCACCAACGAAAACCTGCCAAACTTGGTTGTCCGTCGCAGATACGGGCCACACTTGGAGAGCAGGTGCAGTGCAAGTGCGAGTGTAAAGTGCATCGAGGTGCGGGCTTGCGGGGTTTCTGGGTGCCCGCTTTCCTTGAACAGGAATGCGGAACGTACGCGAGCTGCCAAGAGCGGGTGAGGGGCTGCCCAGGTACGTACGGGAATGAACAGGAAAAACGGAACACTGTCGGGAAGGAGATCATCAGGTACCTGAACGCAACGGAGCGTGCTTTCCTCGTGGCCTCGCGTTTGACCACCACTGGGCCACCCCTCGCCCCTTCTCCCCTGTCCTGGCGGGGCCCTTAAAGCGGCAAGAGCCCTCGACCTAGTGCGGCCTTTCGGGCGGCGCGAACAGGGGTTCGTCCAGAAGGGAGCCCCCGCCCATCCGCTCCGTGCTTACCGGCGGGCGGGGTTGTCGCTATTGTTCGAATCTGCTACCAAAGCCTACCTGCCACCAAAAGCAGTAGTCTGAATTCTCAGTCAACGGCGTCCCAAGTGGCCATCTAGAATCATCTCCACCTCTGCCTTGCGGCGTAACGGTGAGCCGAACCTTTGTGCGATTTGGATGAGAACCGCCCCTATCTCAGCCCTACTCCTCCTCAGCAGAAGTCTCCGAACAGCCTACAAGCTTGCTGATCTGCCGACATGGCTCTGTCGTATACCCCCTTCTGTGCGTAGCGCGTGCACGTCCTCGCCCTGTACTGGTACTCGCGACAACGTGAACTGGATCAAGCGGCACGTTCACATCCACCGACAAGACTCTGGATCTCCCAAGGTGTCTGCATTGGTGTGCCATGGTGCTTGACTGGCCGCATGAAGAGCAAACATCCCTAAGCATGGCATCCCAGGTCATTGGGTCGACCAGCAGACCATGACAATGGAATTGGCTTCACCCAAGACACCCCCCGTGTCTCTGATCTAGCCTGGGGCGCTATTTCAAACAAAGACGACCCGCGCATGCTATAGGCCGGCGTCATCAGATCTTGACAAGCGTTAAAGACAACAAAGAAACTCAACGGCTGGGAAACATAACCCCTTTCCTTTGTCATGTCTCTGGAATGCGTTTCACACGATCTTCAACGGCGGCTATCTCGGCTGCTGGGAGCACTGAGACCAACATCGATCGTCCTTGTTTCCACCGTCGCCGTTTGCGACCCAGTTTCGCTCGCTCGGTCTATGCTTTGGCACTTCTTCTGAAGGTTGCACAAAAAGAGGACCGCCCTAATAACTCGACCGACCGAACACCTGAATCACGAAACTTCAACGGCATACCTGGCCCACCTGTGACAACGTGGCGGTCCTATTTTCGTGCTGGGTCCATGCAGCAAAAGTTCGTATTCCCAAGGGCGGGTAGAAAGCGGAGACATCCGGATCAGCACCTTTGTGCTCACATCTCTCCACCAACAATGGTCAACCACTCCACTTCTCTCATCAACCTTCTGACATCCCCCAAACCGATCCTCAAATAAAGTCTCAGATGATGGTATCCATATCCTTTGAAAAGACGGATCACATTACCCATGTACACGGCAATCCCGTGCCATCCTTGCAGAGCTGCGCTGGTCCTGTGGAGGGAATCCTCCATAGGTGTAGTGATGGTTCCCTCAGGAGTCGCGCAAACACGGCTCTTTGTTATCAACCCTGTCTAGCAAGGTCAAATTGGGCTTTTTTTTTTCTTTCGTTTTTGTTTTGGCATCCAACAGCCAGCGACGCCTTCCAGCCTTGTTTCCTCGGGACGGAATACTACCTCGCATCCAATAGTGCCGCCGCCAAGCTTTCTCTGCCTCGTGCATGCACCTTATCACACAAGACGGGAAGACGGGCCAGCCTGCGCCCGTCGAATGCCATGTCACCCTCCAGCTTCTTTGAACAAAATCTCAGCACA